ACTCTTATTTAGCAGTGACATTTAGCATTTCAGTGGGATAAAACGCTAAAGCTTCAGCTACAGAGTTCTTTACTTAAGCTCTTAAACCAATGCAATGTTTTTAAAAATGACTCTATGAAGTGTTCAGATCCTGCATTTGAAAATAAATAAATGTGACCGTAAAACACGGCGGAGTTCTGACAAACGGTACCTTTCACGGGGTTAAACTACGGATGCATTAAGCGTCATACCTCTGTTCAAAATTGCTTTGCCATTTGTGTGTCTTTCTCCTCTTCAAAGCCACCAATGTGCCAAGTTTCCCACTTTTTTATTAACGTGTCACCAGATAAAAATAAAGATGAGGAACAGGGACATTATGCAATCCAAAGCCTTTTATTTTTTTCCATTCTTCTTCTTCTTCTCCTCTGCATGCAGATAAATTGCTAAACTGCGTAGTTTTTACCTCCCCGGAGAGAAAAGACAACGTCACACTTATGCTGTTCACAAGTCAGACGCAAAGGGAACCTGTGAAAAGAGATATTTTTTCACCAATCAGTCGACTCACACCGTACAGTAGCTCCGCTTGACATGCAAACGACATGACTGTAAATGTGCTTCTTTGCGTTTGCAGGCACAGGAAGTTTTGAGATCCCTGTTTTGTGTCTGCTGTGCCACGGAGAGCCCAGGATCCTGAAGGTAAACTTCATTTTACTTTAAAAACACCTGCTGACGTAGGTTCTGTCATTTTAATGTGCACCAAAAAAGTTGGAGAGTCAGATTTAGTTGTCCTCACGCAGCAGACCGAGAAACTGTCTCTTTCTGCTTTCTTGCAAAATTAATCTCGTCAACCGAAAAAAAAGAAAAAGTCAAAGTCACCAGTTTATTTGCATAAGCGGAGCCCTAACTGAGGGGATTATAGGCTGCAGCTCGCACTGATCAATACAATTCTTTGTTGATGTTTAGTTGAGAAACAGAAAGAGAAAACTTCCAAGCGGCAGCAGAGGATTCATCTGAACACTGTGTCCCTTCCTTCCTGCAGAGGATGTATAAAGGCATTGGCAATTCGACACCATGGCTGATCCTGGCAGGCTCCGGAGGCGTGGCCGACATCCTCGTCACGCTGATGAATAGGGGCTGCTGGGATACGGACAGCGTTCACGAGCTGCTGCTGGACACCTTTCCAAACGCTCACCACAGCACAGACATCAGTAACTGGGTCAAGCTGGTGAGAGCGATGTGCACAGCATGGAGGCAGCAGGCAGCACATGCACAGATATGCACATCACAAGGCTTGCCAGAAAAATGGGGCACACTGGGAAAGATTGTGAAGGGGAAGCTAATGTGGGATTTTTCCAGCGTTATCTTCAAAAAAAATTGTGTATGTGATGACCTAATTAAGGATAGGAAGGAGGAGGAGGGCAAGATACCAGTAATGAAACGTGTTTTTATCAAGCGGGGAAGTTATTGTGATTGCAGAAACCGAAGCTTTTGCTGATTTAAAAAAAAAAAGCACATTTCTGTCATTCTAAATCAGATCCAGAAGATCCTGGACCACCGGCACCTCCTCACGGTGCACGACCCCGAGCAGGAGAGCTCCGAGCTGGACACGGTCATCCTCAAAGCTCTGGTCAAGGGTAAAGTGCTTCTAGTCAGAGATCTGTTCAAGAAACTTGCAATTTCTCCACAATTACAGGTTTTCCAGCCTGTCAGCCGCGATGAGGGAGAGCCTCGGCATTTTGAGCACTTCATAGGTTGTGAACCTGTTGACATTTCCTGTGCCTTTATCAGCTTGTAAGAGCCAAAGTCAAGAGGCTCAGGACTTCCTGGATGAACTGAAGCTGGCCGTGGCCTGGAACAGAGTGGACATCGCCAAGAGTGACATCTTTAACGGAGACGTGGAGTGGAAGGTGAGCCACATGCACTGTGGTGTGACCAGACGTCTGACTTGTCGTGTATTCCAGGGTGTGATATTCATGTCAGTGGTACGTCCACACATTTAATCAAAAGCATAATGGGAAGATTTAAAAGATAAATAAATAAATAATATTACAAACATAATTTTTTTCACTTTAGGTAGCATAATAATGTTCAGCATCAAATGTATATATTAGTTGATTTAAAGCTAAATTCAACTTGTGGTAAGTTAATGAAAGCCTGCTAACAGGCGGCTAACATTTGCTAATTAACATCCATTTTGTCAGCCTCAGGACTCTAGACGTTCATGCGAGCAACGTGGACGTTCATTTGCACATTAGTTTCCTTATTTGTCTTAAATGTAACGTGTGAGCTACTGGATACCTTGAATTTCCTACAGGGGATAAATAAAGTATCTACATATGCTATATGTCTATGCTAGCTATCAGTGCTATCTCGATGCTGCCTAGCTAGTTGTCAATGCTATCTATCTAGCTAGCATCTATATATGTTATCTGGCTATGCTAGCTATCAGTGCTATCTAGATGCTACCTATCAAAATGTCAATGCTATCTATCTAGCTATGTATGCTAGCTTGGAATCTATGGTATCTAACTAGCTACCTATGCTATCTAGTTATCTATCTATGGTATCTAACTATCTAGCTATGCTATCTAACTAGCGATCTAGCTATATATGCTGTCTAGCTATCTGCTATCTATTCTATTTATCTATGCTGTGTAGCTATCTATGCTATCTATCTATGCTACGTATCTAGCTGTTTATGCTATCTGTCTAGCTATGTATGCTAGCTTGTTATCTATCTGTGCCAACTAGCTATCTATACTATCTAGTTCTCTGTCTATGGTATCCAGCTATCTAGCTTTGCAAACTAACTAGCTATCTGTGCTATCTAGCTATATGTGCTATCTAGCTATCTATCTATGCTATCTATTTATCTAGCTGTCTATGCTATTTATGCTATCCAGCTATCTATGCTATCAATCTATTCTTTTTTATCTATGCTATCTATCTATTTCTGGCTATCTATGCTATCTATCTATTCTTTTTATTTATGCTGTCTAGCTATCTATGCTATCTATCTAGCCACATGCTATCTATGCTATTTGTGCTCTCTGTGCTTGTTGTAGTCATCCTGCAGCTATTGTGTCTGTAAATCTTATTCAACATTTGTATGCAGTGAGTATGAAAGAGACGTATTGACCTGTCATAACTCATTAAGTGGCATTAAAAGAACAACTGCAAGGAAGAATGCATGCAATAGTCCTAAAGAATAGATTTCTATACTCTTTTCTTTATTGTAAATACCAGCAATGTTTGCACCTCATTTCTTTCGTATTTCCTTTGGCACATTGATTTCCTTGTTTTTTCATAAATGTAATGTGAGCAACTGGATACCTTGAATTTTTCCATGGGGGATAAATGAAGTATCTGTCTAATCTAGTCTCTGTGTCTCTGAAAGCTGGAAAAATGATCTAACTGCCATGATCTCTGCAGGCGTGTGACCTTGAAGAAGTGATGATGGACGCTCTGATCAACGACAAACCCGACTTTGTGCGCCTCTTCGTGGACAACGGCGTGAACCTGGGCGAGTTCCTCACCTACGGCCGCCTGCAGGAGCTGTACTGGTCGGTGTCGGAGAAGAGCCTCCTGCACAACCTGCTGCTCAAGAAGTACGAGGAGAAGCAGGTTCTGCTCGGAGCCGCCAGGACTCACGGCCCGCCGGGGCACCATCCCCCCGAGCAGGGGGACCGCAAGTCCCGATTCACCCTCTACGAGGTCGCCAAAGTGCTGAAGGACTTCCTCCACGACTCCTGCAAAGGCTTCTACCAAAAGATCCCCACAGTGAGTGACAGACGCCGCCTCAGATGTTCCTTTAAATCACAAACACTGCGCCAAACGAGCGGCGTTCCACCTCGTATTGTTTGTCGCTGTCATTCCCGTTCCTTTGGTCTTGGCACTTTAAAATGAAGAAGTGTCTGTTTGTGACCCTGGCTTGTCACAGTCTCGGGATTTGACTATGTGTTGTGATCACAGTCAACATTTTTCTCCCTCCAAAGCCTCTCTGACTGTTTCATTTGAAATGGTTAAAGGCCTGAGAGGCACAGCGAGGAGACTTTATGGTAAACTCGCCTTCTGCAAGACAGTGAATCCTTAATGGTGACTTTAATGGCATTGGATCCCGCGCTAGTCGGAGTAAGACATGAAATCTTAACCAATAAAGCCACATTTTTTAGGCGACGCCGCCCCTCCGTCTCTCCTATCGTGTCACTCGTTCTCTCTGTAATTGCAGAAACTAAAGAGATGGATTATCACGAGAAAACAGACCTGCTGCTCCACAATAAGAAATTATATTACAGGTTGCACAGTGTATTTCTTCTTATCATGTCACGCAGCCAAAAGAAGCAACGATCCCAAAAGAAAGGAGGTAATCAGATCGCTTTTGGCTGCAGCTCTGCTCGGCTGAAATCACTATATATTCTGTGTGATGGACAGACAATCAAAAAAAAATGGCCTCCTTGGCAGAGGAAGTAATTGGTTTTGCAGTAATGACCGCCATAAATTTTATGACTCATATAAGGTTTGCATGTTCTGTAGACTGAGCGCAACTACCCCGATTCCCTACACATGCCTAATGCACTGCACAGAGGCACCAACACGGCATGCAAATGGTCTTGTGTTCAGAGAAAAGGTTAAAAATCTCAGTCTCGCGCAATAATTGACTTGCATATTTAAAAACGCAGTATATTATAAAATACTAACTACACCTATAAACGTGTCAGTCTCAGTAATATATGTAAGGAAATAAAGATTTGTACCCGTAACCCTCTGAACCTGGAAATCTGCCGTCGGGGTTTAGAGAAATTACACCGTTTATCAAAGCCGGAGAGTGTAAAACCAGAGCTGGACATTCATGCAGGAATATGAACCGAATTCAAGCATAAACCCACGATACTTCATCAGAATCAGAATCAGCTTTAATGGCCAAGTACGTACACAACATACAAGGAATTTGGTTTCATTCTAAATGTCTTAATTTAAAAAAATGGACAAAAACCAAAAAAGTCAATATTCTGCTGCAACCAACAGTCATTTAACAAAAGAATTCATGTTAATTTCAGCTGAACTGCAGGCTGTGTTTACACAGACCAAAATGGAGACAAGGACGGAAACAAAATGAAAACGTAAGTAGTAAAATATTTACCGGATTTTTACTTTTATTCTTGGGGAAATTCAAGGTAGCTCATACGTGTTGTTTTTTAAGAAAAATAAGAAACACAGCGTTCAAAATAATGAGCGAATCCTGCTGGTAGAAGAAAGTTAACCAAAATAATCAGACAGTGTTACTCGTGCACAGACACTAAAAAGTCTCCTTAAAATGCAAATTTATTCAAATGACAGGATGAAGTTTTACATTTTAAATTTGATGGCAGCAAATTAAAAAGGTCAGAAGTAAAATATGTGTTTATATTTTTACCTACGCTTTATTCTTTTGGGAAATTCAGTAGCTCACACATGTTATATTTATTAATAATAATAATAATAATAATAATAATGTGCTGGTTGAAGACATTTAGCCAATTGTGCACAAAAAAACCTCTCAAACATGGAGTTCTATGTACAAACTAATCAGACGTGGCTTCAGAGGACAACGATCAGTGATGACGCCAAAACGTCTCCTTAAAATGCAAAATTTATTCAAATGACACGATGCCACAGAAAAACAAGACCAGAGTGGACTGATCAGGATGCGTCACTTAAATGTCCACGGCTCTGGACGGGCCTGATCCCGTCCCCTCAAAAAAATGTCCGCCAACTTAACCAAACGTGTTCTTCTAGTGATGGCACCGTTTGGATCCCCTGCGGTGGAGCGAAGACGAACAATGTTTGTTTGTGCTGTTGTTCAGTTTACATTCAGTGCTCTGTCTGTGTCCTCCAGGAGAAGCCGGCAAAGGGTCGATTGTTCCACAACCAGAAGAACTTGGCGGAGTTAGAGGAGCGCTGCGAACATCCTTGGAGAGATCTGTTCCTCTGGGCCGTCCTTCAGAACCGACAGCAGATGGCCAACTACTTCTGGGCCATGGTCAGTCGTGTCAGCGTCTTTAGTCGCTCCAGCTCGTGCGGTCCCACAGCATTGTGCGGCGGTTCAGTCGGGCCTACATGAGCCTGAAAGGGGGAAATCTGCTCGAATCGAAAAACCGAGGAGAGGCTGAATTAGAACGGCGGTAGTTTGTATTCCGGATTCGGCGTGACAAGAGCGATGTGGGCCGGCGCGGTGCAGGCGCAGGTCAGCCCTGCCATATGAAAATGTCACTCGAGATAAAAGAGCCCGGCAAACGGCATATTTATCAAGAACCGCGGTGAACTAAAAAGCTATCTTATCTCCAAGAACATTATTCAAATGAAGGTCATGCTACTCGCCAGCAGCGAGGCAGTACAGCTGTAAAGTCCCGAGGAAGTTAATGAGAAATATATCCTGAGACGAGGACTGATGCTCTGAGAATAGCTTAAAACGACACCAATCGATGATCGCTGCTCTTTGTTTCCAACGTCTCTCCAAAAGGCACCTTTCTATGCTTCCCGATCGCCCTTCCCTGAACCGAGGCAGCCAATTATTGTAATCTGACGAGCGGCCGCCCTCCTTTCCTGCGTCTTATTTCACAACATTATCTGAAATTATGGTAATTGCATCCAGTGTGTGTACGTCCCCCCTCCCCAGCTGCAAATTGTTTTAGCGCGCCGACTCTGGCCCGGATATCTGCGTTCGTAATTTGATTGTTTGAAGTGTCTCTCTCTCGTGCCGGAGCCCTCGTCGCTATTATCCTCGCAGGCTAGCTTATGCTAGCAAAACCGGATGGAAGAGATCCCACATGCTTGATATGTACATATGCAGAGATGCAGGAGCGGCATTATGCAGCGCCGTGGATACAAATCAGCACTCATTTGAATTAAAGAGGGATGCAAAGAGTGACACTTCAAATGGGAAGCTTTGTGCAGCTTTAAACGCACATTTATCACGATAGTCTGAGAAATGTCGGCGCTACCAGCCGATACCTGGACATGACGGTTTAATATAACGTGGTATAGACTCATACTCGTGCTTTAGCTCTCGTGAACTCTTTCAAAACTTTTCGAAATCTGTCTTTTTGAATTCCTGCAGCGTGTGAGGAGGTTAATAAACCCAGAATAAGTTATGACCAACGCAAAGAATACACCAATTATTAAAACCATCACGAAACGCGTCGCAGCCCAGAACACACCAACATTTATTATTCAAAAATTTGTGCAGCACAGAATGTAACCAAAAGTAAATGATGTTCGCTGTGATAAATTATCTCAGATTTTTATTTTTTTTCTAAGGTATTGAAATGAACTGAAAATGAAACCTGGAAGGAATAAAAGAGAAACACACTGAAGGTCTATGTTCACTGGTAAATGAGACCAAAGAGGGATGAGAAGTTTTTGGGGTTTTTTTCTATCTCAAAAAAGAAGAAAAAAGAAGCATCACCAAGATTGATAATATTGATTTATACCCTGCTAATATACTAGTTTTAGTAAACAGTATACTGTACAAAATAAAGTAAATTAATTTAAAAAAGGAAAATATTGCATTGACAGTTGCACCAAAAACTTAAACAATATAGTATTTTTTCACAATTATAACACAGTTTTTAGCCCCAGTTTTACATATTTGAAAAAAGACTTTTATTGTGTTTATTGAAGGATATTTACATGTGTAGAAAATTCCATAAATGTAAAATAACAAGAGTCATTATTAGCAGGGTTTTTACATTATTTTATTTAAAAAAAAAAAAAAAAAAACGTAAATAAATGTTAAATTAGTGTTATAAAACAAATAACTAATCTAGTGTTGATGTTAGATTTTATCAAATATACTGAGTTTTTCAGGTCTTTTATTTTGAAAAGTGTGCCCCCCTTTTAAAGTTAATGGATTTACCTTTTTTAAAAAAAAGTAAAACCACCATAAGTAAACAAATAGTTATGATTATAAAAATAATAATATTTTATTTCAGATCATATGACGTGTAAAATGAGATTTTATATGAAACTTTACATTTTTTTTGTATCGTTCATAGATGTTATTTTTTTTACTTTTATTTATTTATTTAGTGTCTTTTGGAAAAATATGCAAAATAGTAAAAAAAAAAAGAAAAGAATTCTGTTAAATTATTTTAATCCTCAAAGGCTATGACAACAACTACAGACAACTTATTTTCATATTTTTATTTTTTACATTTACACATTTATACCTTTTAAACCAAACTGTGTGAATGTGAACCGACACGACTGCTGCTTCATTTGCAGCGACAACAAAGGAATTCTGCTCTAAGACATGAGGTGTCTGCTGTAAACACTCGACCTTTAGAAACCGGAGAGAAAACTTGCAGAGGAGAAACATATCTACTGCACCCCGATGCGCACAGTAAAGACATTTAGATGCAAAAGATGCAGCTCTCTGAAATTCTGAGCCAGATCCCTCTTTCAGACCCATTTCTTGGATACAGCTTTCTTTTAATCCTTCAGGGCCCCGAGGCGGTTGCGGCAGCGCTGGCGGGTTGTAAGATTCTGAAAGAGATGGCGCGACTGGAATCCGAGGCCGAGTCTGCACGCAGCATGAAGGAGGCCAAGTATGAGCAGTTCGCCCTTGGTGAGTGCATAAACTGTTCGATGGCGAGAGCCCACAATGGCGGTGGCGGGAAGTAAAGGTCGAACACGACAAGAGGTGCATCCACTGATCTCGAGTCAGCTCCTTCTCGAGCGCACAAACGGATCGGAGCGGGAAGAGGGAATGAAATGTGAGCGTAAGAATTCCTGGCCAAGTGTCTGACTCCGTGCACCTACTGTTCTTATTGTGGCAGATGTCTTCGGCGAGTGTTACTCCAACAGCGAGGACAGGGCTTACGCTTTGTTAGTGAGGAGAACACACTGCTGGAGCAAGTCTACCGTCCTCAACTTGGCAACTGAAGCGGATGCCAAGTCCTTCTTTGCCCACGATGGAGTTCAGGTAACAAGGAGACGCATCCATATGCTCGCTTTGGCTCCGACTCGTCTGATTATCTCAGCCGTTTTCAGACGTTTAACTCTGAGCGGCCGCTGTGAATCTGACAAAGGGAGTTATTCTTTTCCCTGCTTATTGCATGGAACCATTATGTTGCCCCGCAGTTATTAAAGTATTTCGGCACTTTTGTGTCTCATTAGGTTTCATTGGGTGCTCGGTTTTTGCAGAAATGTCCCTCCGACAGACGTCCTTGTCATTACAAAGTCATCGCTGAGAGTTAATTAGTATTCCGTGTCAGCAGGGACAGTTAGCACACAGTGGAGTAATTTTTATTTTTTATATATTTAAAGCACATATTTGGAATAATGCGCCTTTGTTTTAAAGATGAGAAATTGGTAATTGTGATTCAGTACATGTGTAATGCTTCCAGAGAATCGGGGTTTTGCAGGTGTCTTACTCAGAGCCAACAGGCCTCTGACGAAGCATCAGGTGTCCCTTAATGAAAGAGGTCTCTTGTGAAGCTGCAATCAAAACAGAAAAGCACAAACATGTCACGTAAAATAAGATTTCCTTTCTGTTATCTGACTCCTTATGAGCTGCTCCCTTCAATGTGGCCTCAAGACTGCAAGGCAGAAATATTCTCAGGCCAACGGTGTCCCCTTGTGGTGAACATCGTGTTCACTTAGTTTTCCAGTGTTGTGATTTTAAAAACGTATTTTTTACTGCAGGCTCTGCTCACAAAGATCTGGTGGGGGGCCATGACGACGGACACAGCCATCTCCAAACTGGTGGTGTCCTTCTTCTGCCCACCGCTCATCTGGACCAACCTCATAAAGTTCAGGTGAGAAGATGTCCCCCT